AGCGTCTCCCCAAACAATTTTTTAGTCATTTTATGGGTTTTTTTAGGACTACTTTTATGCTTTGTAGGTACTAAAGAGTGCAATGCATAAAAAAATCTGCAGTCGATATATATACAGCGTCGGCAAACAACACGGTCGAGTCTCAAATTTTTGCATATTTAAGGAATCGTCTTCGAAAGAAGAATACTATTCTTTCATGGCAGGTGGTTTCTCAGTCAGAAAAAAACAAGTTCTCGAACTAGAACTCTTGAAGTGAGGCCGTCAGTGTTCGACATAGTCACTAACCCGCTTATCCGGATACAACTTAAGCGATCTTTATGTGCTGAAAATTGAAGGGGCAACAACCGCATTTAATGCTATCAGATATCCTTCCGTTTAAGACCATAGTTATATTTTCCGTCAATTTTACACATTATTCAACAAACCATTTAATATTTCCTGAACTGAGAAACCACCTGTCATGAAAGAATAGTCTTCTTCTTTCAGAGACGATTCCTTAAACAAAAATTTGAGACTCTGCCATGTTGAACATATAAAGCGAAAATGTCTTGTTGTTTGCCGACGCGGTATATGTTGTTGATGTTGTTGTTTTGACTTTTTATTGTTTTTTTTTTCTCTCACCTTTTTTTCTTTTCGGAAGATAAAACAAGTGTTTTCACTGTCTGTAACTTTTTTTATCAAGATTTTTGAAGCCACATGGATGTTATGATATCTAATAATAAAACAATCTAGTACACCGTGCTAAAATTCCCCAGAGCTATTTTAATCGAGTACATAGCTGAGCCATTGATAAGCTAAGATTGCATGAACATATTTCCTCTTGGCAGGTTTCTAGTGCCTGATAAAAATAACTCAACAACCAGAAAATCGGTTAACCTTTACAGCTAAACTATATTTATTACAATTATTACCTGTGCAGTGCAATAAATAGCGTTATTACCCGGGTAGCCATGCAGTATCAAACAATTAAGGGTATAAATTATCTTATTATTATCCAGTTGGACAATTTGTCTGATTGCGTGTAATAAAAATAAGTATACAAGATTATTGTAACAGATAAGAATGTCTACACTCCATGTGACGTCCCGTGGGAGCGGCGTATTTTTAGAAGCTACCAAAACGGCTACCAAACATGATGATTCTATTTATCATGTTCATGTGATGTTTATTACAAGATTTATTACTATTGCCAATAATGCTGACCTGCCATTGGTCAGTTTTATGTTGGTTCAACCAATCAGGTGAGGTGATATTAAAATTATACGACTATGAATCGGCCAATGTAATGCAACGTTCTTAAAATCTGAAAATTTTATTTTTTTCTCAATTTTCAATAACAAATATAAAAAATAAAGTTAATGTTGTACGATTTACTCTCGTCCGAGTATGTGTTTGTGCTCATGCCTATCTTTCGGAGTTTCCAAATATTCATCACATTTGCGTGTCGTACATGTTTATGGCGAAATAATTCTGCATTATCTGGCATAAATGAGCCATTATCACAATTACATGATATATCAACTTCCCCAAAATTATTCCAATTAAGATTTTTATCCTTGCACCTCGTAACTTTCTGCTGGGCGGATGATTTCTTATTTAGAAGGCTAGCCGAAATATGGGAGCACTGGAGGTCGTTCAACATTGCTAAATTGAAACTGTTGCAGATGTGGTTCGATTGGTCCTATTAATTCAAAAACATTCAGAGATTTCTTATGATTCGCTGTTATAGATGAAGTATCCGGCTGTTCGACAGTTCGTGTAAGCTTTTTCCATTAAAATGCGGGTCAGTTTTATCATTATGGTATAATATTTATGATTAAGCGTACACAATGGCGAATTATCTGCTCGAAAGAAAAAAAACCCTGATCAAAATGTAGCAACTTGTGAATATAATTACACCTGTGAATCTGCCACAAGATGTCAAGATAGGTGAATATTTTTCTTCAGAAGATGTTTATGATTATCTTGAACCTGTTACCTTTGAAAAAAATCCTAAGAGCGTTGGTGTTTTAGATGCTTGTGATACGACGAGATGTCGGTAAATGAAAACAATTTATCAATAGTGAAGTTTGTGAGAGTTTTTTTATATCAAAGGGACACAACTCTGTCAACGATATAGCTATTTCTATTTGAATTGCCTCCCTTCCCACAGATGTGTAATAAACTGATTTTCACCTGGTTGCAAATTTGAGAGATATTGTTCTGATGCAGAGAAGTGTGGCATAATTTATTGTTTGTGTACATGCATTATAAATGACTAATATCTGGGTTATAGTATAAAAGACAATTCCATAGATATTTACTCCAATTCAGGATTTGTTACTCGATCAATCAACCAGGCAGTCTATACATTTTTAAAAGGAATACAATGTACTTTGTTAAAACAGAAGCTTAAATAAAAGATAAAACACAGATATCAGATGTGTGCATATTGTGTTTTATTGATACATTTGTACAAAAATATATAAAAAATATATTAGTCGAGCTGTGTTATAGTTAATGTCTCAACTGTTCTTTATTAATTCTTGGTGGTCCAAGTATGTTGTATCTGCTGAATTTGTGTAATGAACTTGCCCGGCTTTGGATTTTGGAACAGTCCATTTAGAGTTTAAGGGATTTTAACTTGATAATACAAGAAAATGCATTTTTAAGTATAGAACCCGGCCACACTGCCATGTGAAGGCTTATCACTTGGGTCCTTACTCATTTGAGTGATCTATGTCTCTGAACACATCACCGGTATCACTGGAAGGTTGGTTGTTTAACTAAGTTGCCCGCTTGTATCTGTAATAATGCACGGATGGCTACTCAGATTCTTCCTCGAAAGTTGCTGAATGATCTACACAATGACTTTATAAAAAATAATGACTTAATTAAAAATATTATCGTATTATGATGTTATTTGTGGTCATTTAGATTGACTTTTGATACTGTGGGGAAAATATTTTTATTAGTCCATCGGTCGTGGGTTAACAGACTTTATGAGAAAGAGTCCGTTAATTAACTTAATAAATATAAATTGATAAATTATACGTTTAATCATATTAATCAACACACCGGTCTTCAGACAAGGTCATGACAAGAACAAAGACAACAACAACATTAAAACAACACACAAAAACAACAAACCCAACAAAAAGCCCTTAAAATAATGTACAGGAAAACAGGACATATATGGTGTTGTGCGTACAAAATGAAAATTTCATAGATTTGATACATCCGAAAAGTTGTTTGTTGTGCAATAAAAGAAGCTGATACTATCCTTTCCATTGACAATGATCTAATTGAGACTTCATGTTCGTTGACTTTAAAATTTGATGAAATATTTTTCAATGAATAAACCCATTCTTACATTTAAAATGCATATCATATTGTCGTTTAAATAGCGCAGGCAAATATTGTTGTTCCAGTGAAAGTAACTTTCTCAAACGATTGTTTAAAGGAGAAAAATCAAATAAGAACACTCAGAAAGCGAGCGCATTTTCTTTCTTCTTTTACATCGCGTGTAAACTGCCACTCGACGCCCTTTGGTTCCGCCGGCGTTCAACAATACAGTCCGGATTCATTTTCAGTTAATTTAAAAACAATTCCAGAAATTGAAATGGACCAATCAATAGTCAGCACAAAAGACTGGTTCTGTGATTGATTCACGTAATCGTTGTCACTGACGACAGGTGTCCAGAAGAAAATAATCGGTACCAGTCTCAATTTCACAGGCATAGTGAAAATAAGTTCTCTCATTAATAGAATTCACGTGCAAGTTGTGAAAGTCGTTCTATTTATCTTTTGCCGACATTGACAACATTATATATCGATAAATGTCTGGGAGAATATCAGTTTAATATGTTTATAGAAATTCTGAACAGGTATCATATAGCTTTATTTGTTTTTGTTGTTGATGTGTTTATTGTGTTTATTTTTTGTTGCGTCTCTCTGTTTTGAGATATTTTGATATGACTGGGTGTTTTTTTCATTTTCATTGATCCACTAGGACACCTGTCGTATAATTAGTATTGATGAATATGGATTAAATCTTCTTCAGTCATTATGCTGAAAGCTTCGCGTTTTAATCTGATAAACTATTTATACCTCAATTTACATAAAACTAAGTAGTAAACTTTTCTTATATTATGTTGAAGTTTAGTATTTTTCCTGAATATAATATGTAAAGGGGCTGATTTGGACATTTATTTCATCATTTTTTATTTATTTATTAATTTATTTATTATGGTTCCTCCAGTTTCTAAGATGCTTTAATAACGTTTGTTTCTGATGCTGTTCTTGTCAGTCCAGTTCTTTCTGTTTTTTTGCGAACATGAAAATCACGTGATGTAAAGAAATTAAAATGAACATTATCAGGGAAAGGGTTTCAATTAAATATACAATATAATAAAAACAGAGTAAAGCTAACTGTTTTATAATCTATTTGAATTATTATTTTCTTTATAAAATAATAATACATGTAATTGTAAATATCAATGTCTTACAATAATCTCTGTAGGCATTATAACATTAATACAAAACAATTTAAAAATATTATATTCTTAAGAATGTCAATCAACGCATATAAAATAAGTTTTGGCAGTTTTTGGCCATGCGCTGTAAAATACATTTGCAAATGCACAAGAGAATTTTTTTGTGCTGCGCTGATCCCAAGGGGCAATATGGCAGACCACCATAATTCCGGATGTTCGGAAATTTACATATAAAGAATATATATATACATGATTGAATGTACAAACTCTGGAAAATCAGAAGTTATTTTGTTCAGACTGGAGAGCGTTACATAGTAATAAAGTATTCCGGACAATCGGAAATTTATATTTTATATTCCGGATAATCGGAAATTTATTTTCATATTCCGGATAATCGGAAATTTATTTTCATATTCCGGATAATCGGAAATTTATTTTCATATTCCGGATAATCGGAAATTTATTTTCATATTCCGGATAATCGGAAATTTGTTCATATTCCGGATAATCGGAAATTTATGTATCATTCCGGACAATCGGAAATTTATGTATCATTCCGGACAATCGGAAATTTATATTTCACTTCGGACATTTGGAAAATATATCTTGTTGAAACAGCTACATCCAATCATGTTTAAAATTATAAAAACAATTTTGTTTGCTAAACACCCTTGTACATTGCAAATGCATTAAAAATCTGCGCAAGTGCCTGCTCAAGAAATTGAAAGTAATGGGCTTACTGCATATAGAATTAGAAACAGTATTAAGAAACAAACTGATTAATACAATTACAACTGACAACACTAGCTTTGCTTATCACAAACATTTGTCAAATTAATAATCTCTACACTTAAGTTTTACATATTTACAAATGGATAGACTTGCTTACTGTATTAAGTTACAATTATAATTAAAGAATTGATTATACATTAATCTTTAACAATATAGTATGTCTACTGTACATGTAAGGCATTAAAAAGTTTAAATAATTTTAAATATGCATAAAATTAAATGCAAGGGTTTAATTTCCAATGAATCAATGACATAAATAATGTTCACAGTACACAAGAAGTAATGTTCCATGCCATAATTTTCAATTAATGGTATCTAAATAAAATGTACGTATGTAAAGGAAAACTGAATCCTTTGAAAGACATAATAATGTTTCATTACACAAGTTTGAACACTTTCATGTTGTGAACTACTATTTTATCCATTCCATCGATTCTAAGCCCATTGTGAAACACTTTATTATACGAGGCATCCATGTTCCCGCATAATGAGCAGCCACTTTGGAAATGGTTACGACAGCCATGACGAACCCTAAATTGTGGACAAATCTGAAAATAGACAATAAAAGAAAGCAGCAAAAGACCATAGAAAGGGTGGGGGTGTGGAGGGAATTTAAAAACTGAGGAAAAAAATTTCTGACCTTCCTCCCTGAGTTTCCAGAAATGTCTAGTCGTGAGTACACATAAACTTATGACGTCATATTATAAAGACCGGTAATGAATATCAAATTTTACCTTTAAGGTTAGAGGAGTTACTTCCCCTCCCAGATAACAAATATATCTAAAGACGAGACTTGATATATATTATATTATCAGGGAAAGGTTTCAATTAAATATACAATATAATAAAAACAGAGTAAAGCTAACTGTTTTATAATCTATTTGAATTATTATTTTCTTTATAAAATAATAATACATGTAATTGTAAATATCAATGTCTTACAATAATCTCTGTAGGATTATAACATTAATACAAAAACAATTTAACAATATTATATTCTTAAGAATGTCAATCAACGCATATAAAATAAGTTTGGCAGTTTTTGGCCATGGCTGTAAAATACATTTGCAATGCACAAGAGAATTTTTTGGTGCTGCGCTGATCCCAAGGGGCAATATGGCAGACCACCATAATTCCGGATGTTCGGAAATTTACATATAAAGAATATATATATACATGATTGAATGTACAAACTCTGGAAAATCAGAAGTTATTTTGTTCAGACTGGAGAGCGTTACATAGTAATAAAGTATTCCGGACAATCGGAAATTTATATTTTATATTCCGGATAATCGGAAATTTATTTTCATATTCCGGATAATCGGAAATTTATTTTCATATTCCGGATAATCGGAAATTTATTTTCATATTCCGGATAATCGGAAATTTATTTTCATATTCCGGATAATCGGAAATTTGTTCATATTCCGGATAATCGGAAATTTATGTATCATTCCGGACAATCGGAAATTTATGTATCATTCCGGACAATCGGAAATTTATATTTCACTTCGGACATTTGGAAAATATATCTTGTTGAAACAGCTACATCCAATCATGTTTAAAATTATAAAAACAATTTTGTTTGCTAAACACCCTTGTACATTGCAAATGCATTAAAAATCTGCGCAAGTGCCTGCCAAAAGGCTTGGATCCACATCAGCCTGGTGATTTGCATGCAAGCCTCTGCCATACAATACCCCCAAATTGGATGGAGAAAAACTGCGCAGAAAGTGGCAGACATGGCCCCTTTAATAACTACCAACTCATAATTAGAAATATGCTCATGCTAACATGGATACGATACTAGTTCACAATTTAGAATTGACCACAGTCCATTCATTATACTGTCCACAAATATGGAGTTACCAAAGGAAGATAAATGTACTAAATCTCTGAAAAATAGTTGATTTTCAACAATTCTTGGGTAATGTATGTAGCCACCACCATTTGATATGCAAAATTTTGCCATGGTGCTATTGATACGTTTTCTTCCTTTATTTAACTTGAAATGATTTTCTTCATTTCGATAATGGAGCCTAGGAAGAATAGCAGACCAAATGATTCTCGTACCTGGTAATAAATGTAATAAATCTGCAAGACACGCCTTTAAAGAATAATTAATGTAGGAAAGACTGGTTTGACCCAAATCATTTCCTCCACAATGAATAAACAAAATATCTGGCACAGAATTATGCTCAGTGGCTAATAACTGAATATCATTATAAAGGTGCTGAATTTTTAAGCCTGGTCTATAGCGCCAAACAACGTTTACACCAATTGTATTAAATTGTAAATGTTCACCAAATGTACTGTTACACTTTGCATACTGATGAGCATCTCTTAAAATTGAGGAGCCAACCAACCAAACTGAATGGCTGGACTGTTCACCTAATATGGAAAAATGCAAAAGAATGATAACATGGACTAACTATACTATGGCCTCACATAGAGCTTATACGAGTTTGAGCTCCATCTGCCCATTTTTTTTACTTCATCTTCTGAAAAGCCTTGCATAATCCAGTAAGTAGCACCACCAATTCGAAAGGAATGACTTTTGAGTCTAGAACAGTCTATACCTGAATATTTTAAGGTTTTTGCTAAAACAGACCTAAATTGGTAAGGCATAAGTGGTGAACCATCTAAATGGGAGAGGAATTGGTAGCCAGAGGTGGGACGCACTGCCATATAATGAAGGATTACTTCCTTGAGATGGCCGGACAAATTTCTATCTAAAGGAATTTTCACTATGGAACCTCTATGTAATTGATCAGTCTTTGAATGTCTGATATTAAGACACAAGTGTGAATCAGATAAATATACATCTTCTTTACTAATAATGTTAATTTCACTCACTCTCAAGAGAGCATAAAATGCAACCATAAATGCCGCTGTAAATAAAATGGATTCATAATGGGACAAGCAGACAAATTTGAGGTTGTGAACCAGAAGATGTAGCAAATTAATGGTAACTGGCTGTCTAGTGTCCCTACGCCTTTGAGACCTATTCATACCATCAAGAAGTTTGCGGACTAAAAAACATTGAGTGTTATCTGTCAAATTATACAATTTGTTTATGAAACTGATTGCAGATATATGACAATTAACAGTTTTGTATGCATAACCGCTTAATGACATATAAGCTATATAATGAGTAATATGAAATAATGGCGGGGGCCAACTTTTATTATTAAACTGTGAACATCTGAATTTGTCAAAGGTTTGAAGTGCAGAACAGTAAGTTCTATGCGTATTGGCAGACAAAGACTGATCTACAAGATGGTCAATTTCGCTGCACAAAAATGCTGGAAGTCCTGTGGAATTGAAAGTGGAACTTTACATGCATTATGTGGCAATAAAGATAGTAATCGTGAATATTGCAGACGACTGATGGCATCACAAATACCATTTTCTTTTGACTCGATATGAACTGCTTTAATCTGAATGTTTTGCAGCAACAATTTAAGAACCAACTGTCTCATTAATATCATTACACGATTGTTGCGTGAAGATTTATTGTTAATAATTTGGACAAGACTTTGATTGTCTGTATGAATAATGATTTTTTTCCCTTTTAATTTGGAATCCCACAAATAAAATGACAAAACAATTGGGATTAATTCTAAAAAGGTTATGTCTTTGAAAATTTCATCACCCCAGCACTCTGGCGATTTAAAAACTGACCATTCTCCATCTAAATATGCTCCACAGGCCAAATTTCTATTTCCAGCAGAGTCAGTATATAAATGGAGCTTATTATCTGACACCCAATCAAGGTTGCTGAAAACAGATATACCATTATAATGCTCTAAAAAATGAAGCCACATCATTAAATCCTCTTTGTTTGAGGAAGAAATTCGAATGAAATGATTTGGGCGTTTAGCCCGAGACATTGCTCTGTATAAACCACAATTAAATGTTCGCCCTGAAGGAATCACTCTTGTAAAGAAATTTAAAAGACCAACAACAGACTGGAATTTGTTTAGCCTGACCTTTTTCTTATGAATAATTTCATTAATACAATCTTTAGCCTTCTCTATTTTTTCCGATGGAATACGGACTTCCAATTTGTCTGTATCAAGTACAAAACCTAAATAGGTAAGGACAGTAAACTGGACCCTCAGACTTATCCGGATTTAGTGGAATGTTCATGTCATCACAGATATGTTTAAAATCCGACATCAACTTAGAACAATCTTTAGTTCCAGATTTACCCAAAAAAATAAAATCATCTAGATAATGATCAATGTTAGAAGATTTTGTATAATTTGAAACTGCCCACTGGATAAAGGAAGAAAAACGTTCAAATATTGCACAACTTATTGATGCACCTTGAGGCAGCATTTTTTGTATCCAGTATCTGTTTTTATATTTGATCCCCAACAGTGGGAAATCTTCTGGCCTAATTGGACACAGGTTAAAGGCAGAAGAAATATCTTGTTTACCAAGTTCAGTCCCTTTACCCAATATTTGAATTTTTTCAATAACATTGTCAAACTTGGAGTAATGAACTGAACAATACTTTGAATCAATAAAATCATTAACTCCATTTCCTATAGGATGAGACAGGTTAGTAATCAATCTCCAACCCCCTGATTTTTTGGGGACTAATCCCAGAGGATTGACTCTTAAATTAGAAAATGGTTTTTCATTAAATGGGCCTAAAATCCGACCCAGTTCAACTTCTTTAATTAATTTTACCTCTAATACCTTTGGATTTAAAATGGCAGATTTTAAGTTTTTTGATTCATAACTAATCTGTTGGCTAGAGTACTGGAGTCCAAATCCTTTTCTAAAACCATTCAAAAGATAATTTTGTTCAGCAACCTCATAACCCTTTAACCATATCTTTAAACGTTTTATGTCAATTGGTGATGTACCTAACTCCAACAAACGCTCGAGGAGCACTAAATCTTGGGCCTTGTGGTTTAACGACTCTAGGCCTGAAATTATTTAACGGATTTTGCATAGAAGTTGAGGTTCGAATCCCACATGAAATAGCTGAATGGGGACCTCTGCAATTTTTGCAGAGATGCTGATAAGGGCATCCAGACTTTGTACAAAAGCCTTTATTATTAAAGAATAAACATAAGTTATATTTATATAACTGGTTTTGAGGCTGTCTAACATGTGAAGTACCAGTCATTGTAAGCAACCAAAGTTCGCCATCAATAGAGGACCATTTCATATCGGCATGCATAGATTTTTTCTGTCGAAAAGCTTTATCATAATACAGCCAGCCAAATGAATTACGTTTTGCAGCTAGGCGGACCATGTGCATGTACTGTATTAACTCCGAGGCAAGAGAGGGACTTTTCATAATAACTATTTGAATATATATTAAAAATGCGTCAGTCCATGAACTTATGTTCTTCATTTCATGTATTTTTGGACTACTGTCTAATACAATATTGCCATTTAAAACTTTAATAGACTGAGCCTCTGGTAATGGTTCTTTTTGTAACAGTAATCCTAAATCAATATATTCACCTGACCAGACTTGCTCTTTAATTTTTTGTGAAATATGCATACACATATTGGTACAAACAGAATGTAAAGGAAAAAGGTTACCTAAACTATGATCAGCAGGTGTTGCCATAACTGGAGGCTGATCCAAAACATCAGGGTGTGGTTGAAGAACACTAGGACCAGGTGGAGGAAACTGGAAGTCTTGGTTTCTACTTGCTGTTGCATATGAAACAACAGAGCCATGAGCTGTGGGAGGAGGTACCGCACACTGAAATTGCTGATTCCCATTAGAGTATAATGGAGCAGGTACACTACTTGCCAGCGGACCAGATGTATAATTAATTTGTGGAGCAGGAAAGCCAGGTGGAGGAAACTGAAAGTCTTGGTTTCTACTTGCAGTTGCATATGATGCAACAGAGCCATGAACTGGTGGAGGAGGTACCGCACACTGAAAATGTTGATTCCCACTAGAGTATAATGGAGCAGGTACACTACTTGCCAGCGGATGAGGTGTATAATTAGTAAGTGGAGCAGGAACATTAGGCCCAGAAAAAGGGGGGGAAGCTGCAGCTGCCCTCCTCCTTTGACGACGTTGATCAACTTGTCCAGCAAGTGGAAGTTTCCTTTTCGGACGAGGCATATCGGCCGTATATGTAAAATAAATTAAAACAGAAATTAAAAGTGGAATGTTCAGCAAATTTAATAAATGTAGCAACATCTTATTTATTGCAATAATTCTTAATTTCATTCATATTATTCAAATTCATTCATTTATAAGTAAATTATTTTATCAATTCTTTTATCAATAATTAATGTTGAAATTTTAAGAACGGTTTTGAACTAAATCTATGAATATTATAAAAATGTGTATTATGTGGCTTGCACTGCTAAGACACCACGTGGTCTGTGGATTTTAATGAATTCTATAAAAATTCCTTTAGTTACTAGCATTTACTTTCATTCGAATAAATTTGTTGATAAGATTTATAAAATATATGTTATTATAATACGGTGCACTTAAACAGTGAAATATGGCCGCCACGCCATGGCATTGCCACTTCTAGTTCTACCCCACGTGCTTCGACGGGAAAATGAGAATAAATAGCAATTTAGCGATAAAAGAAGAAAAATTACTGGAAATAATTCGGGCAACGTAACGTTCAAGATATTCTAAAGTAATTAATACCCGAATAAGACAATAAAAGAAACGTGTAATTAACTTTAAAGAAATTTAAAAACTGAGGGAAAAAAATTTTTGACCTTCCCCCTGAGTTTCCAGAAATGTCTAGTCGTGAGTGACACATAAACTTATCGAACCGTCATATTATTAAAACCGGTTAATGAATATCAAATTTTTACCCTTTAAAGGTAAAGGAGTTACTTCCCCTCCCAGATAAAAATATATCTAAGACGAGACTTGATATTATATTATATTTATAATTAACTGGAAGCTTTTGAGAAGGTCATGGACGATTCTATTTTTCAATTTATTTTAATATTATATTAAAAGGAAAATGCACCCGTAAATAAATTATATCTACCTTCATTCGTAAAAGCAGGGTGCTTGCTCTTCGCACTTTGCTATGAGCATACCACTGAAGAAAAAAGAAAAAACAAAAACAACTAAAAGGTATGAATTAAAAACACCCCAGAAGACCTCACAAAAATATTTCTTTTATTTTATCAATTTCTTTGGTGTGTTGAAAACTCTCCTCCAAAGGCGAAGTTGTTACTAAAGATGGAGTATATGTAAAAACTCTACAACTAAAAAAAGAGGACATTTTAACTGGATATTTGCGACTGGCGATATCTAAATGATCTATCAGGTCCTTTGTTTTTACTTCAAATATCTCTTTAATAATGATATTTTTTGTGAAGATGGACTTATAATAAGCCCTTTTTATGCACGCGAGAAGCACGTGAGAAACACGTGAGATGCACGTGAGATGAGGTTTATTTCCTGATTGTTTGTCTCAATTTTTATATTTATGCATCGTAATATTTTCCATGGCAATTTGATACATGCTAAATTTGACTTTTATTATGTAAACTATTTAATGCCTGTTTTATCCTTTACATAACATAACATCTTTTCGGTTTTATATTTCATGTTTTTTATACTACGCATTTTGATATATACATGTACATGTACATGTACTTACATGGATGTTTTGATTGAATCGAAGTAAACAAATTTTCAGTGACGTAAGCAAAAGCATCTAAATTTTGTAGCATCAAAGAGTGTAAATGATGACACTTTTCGCACTTTTGTAACATCAGACGTCAATAAAAGGTGGCACCTTTTCACATTTTGGAACAGATCTTGCTATATTCATCTAATCATATATATTCATACAATTTTCCAGTGGTTCAAACTGCACATGCAGGTTTTAAAATTGATTTTGTTCTATTTGCAGGTTTGATGAAAATATGAAACCGTTTCCTAGGTGACCCGGAATTACAGATAGAGCCATTTTCAGGTACTAAATGCGTCACTGCTTCTTTCGTCTTTTAGTATTAAGTATTAACTTAATCTTTAAGGATAATAGCTTTATCGTCTTTTAATCCTTTTGTATTTTTGACACTTGTTTCATGATAATTTTCTGTAATTACTGCTTGATTCATAGAAAGATTATCTAATCTGGATTTAGAGAAAACTCACTCGAAATTTTATGAATTAAATGCTTTGACAGTTCTTCTTAAAGGTTTCTTCAAAGAACTAACTAATGAATGAATGAATGAACGAATGAATGAATGAATGGAGGTAGGGAGGGAGAATGAATGAATGAACGAATGAATGAATGGAGAGAGGGGGGGGGGGGGGGGGGTGAAGAAAACGAATGAGTGTATGACAAATGTCAAATGGTCGAGCGGACGGAAGAAATAATGAACAAGATAAAAGTTCAGAAAAGGAGACTGTTTCATGGATTGAGGACAGATAGGATGGTATGGGATTGATTGAATGATTGATTCATTGATTGATTGATTGATTGATTGATTAATAAATTAATGTAAGCGAGTTCGTGCGTTTGTTCTTTCTCATAATTGCGGATTAATGAACAAAAGTTATGATATTTCATAACGCGTTTGCTAAACATATAAATAATAACAACAACAACAACAAGAAACTAAATGAGAATCACGCTGGCTCAAAACTTTTTTTCACATTTTTGAAATATAAAACTCTTGCAATGTCTACATTTACTGAATTTCACTGAGGTAGTCAATAAATAAATTGTTAAACAATTATATTATAATTATATAGTAACGATGCATTGGTTTCTTAAACTGTTCCGAAATTTAACACTTGTAAGCGCTATTTAGACAAAAAAATAGACATCTACTGAAATACTGTTATGCTCAGTGAACGTTAGCAGGCTTTTGATAGAGAAAAATAATCGCGAGAGAGTTATTTATTAGATCGATTGTTATTTGAATATTTTACAATTGACCTAGTCTGTTCACGTTCGTTCTAGTGAACTGTGTGTGTTATTCTATACGTTTATTGGATATGCATGTAGTACATCTTTTTGATCGCATCAGAAGCATCATATTTTTCTAGCCATATCACATACACTCTGTCAAATTGCAATTTATAAATTTTAGTTTAATGCGCATGAAAAACTTTACCGACTTTACTACATTTATCCCTGGCCATTAAGGCACTTGAATCCACCTTTCTTTCCATAAAATGGCTGACAATTTTATGACAGTCAACTTTATGGCGGCCCACATTATGGCAGTCCATTTTATGGCAGCACATTTAATGGCAGCCTACATCATGGCAAGCCCATATCATGGCATCCCACAGTATGGAAGCCCACAGTACGGCACACACGTCATGGCAGCCCACATAATGGCATCCACGTCATGGCAGCCCACAGTACGGCACCCACGTCATGGCAGCCCACATAATGGCATCCACGTCATGGCAGCCCACAGTACGGCACCCACGTCATGGAAGCCCACATTATGGCAGCCCATATGGCAACCCACGTCAGGGCAGCCCATCTAATATAAGCCCGCATTATTGCCACCCTTATTTTGGCAGCCTACCTTATGGAACCGAACCTTATGGCAGTCCACAGTATGGCAGCCCTTATGGCAACCTACGTTATGGCAACCCATATAATATTAGCACACACTATGGCCGTCCTAATTTGGGTAGCCCACGTTATGTCAGCCCACAGTATGGCAGCTCATATTAGGACCACCCACGCCATGGCAGCCCATTTAATATTAGTTCACAAGGCAGCCCTTATTATAGCCATCCACGGAATTATCCTGCCCTTTCATGTACCAATAATCACCTTAAGTAAACTTTTTTAGTAAAGTGTAGCACTGTAGAGTTAATTTTCATGCTCGGGGAATTTGCAGTATCCCTGATGCGACTCGCACCGGAGACCTCTCAAACCCAATGTGCGTGTTCTACTTCTGGGCCACTACTCTACACAATGTTTAAAGGTTCAAGGTCACCCTGCAGAAGTTTGGATGATTCACTCTCTTTAGTATTGTAAAGTAACAAGATCATAGTTTATATATAGGTCATTAATGTTTTCTTTTTTTTATTTCCTTCAAATAAAAAAGCCGCAAAAAGATAAATGTGTGTTTATCAAAAGTATGTTTTTATCCTCGTATACCCCCTTAAGGTTGCATTCCATGTGTTAAATTCAGCGTGGCGTTTGTAACGTATCATGGTTTAAAAAAACGCTCCGGGTATCTATTATAATAAACTATTAAATTTAATGACAACGTAGTGAAAGAAGATTGTTAAAGTGTCATGTAAAGGGAAAAGTATATTAAAAAGTACTAAACTTGTCAACCTGTATTCTTCGTTGACGGTGGGGGATGGGGGTGAGGAAATAGGTTGGTCAATGCATATAGGTCTTGTTCAACATATCATGATAATCTTTACTTCTCTCAATACATGTTAGCATGCAAATATGAGGACTTTACAATAAATGCTATAAACATACGTGACTTACAAAGGATGAAATGAAGACATTTTGAAAATTAGTCAGACATGCAAATTAATAATTTAATACATGTACTTGAAAAGTCTATGTTTAACCTAAAGTTTTAGCTACAACATAAGTATTTTCACTTAATTGTTACACTCTTATCTTTTGAATAATACAATGTACATTTTACAAATTAACATAAATTCAGACTTGCTGTTAGTACATAATGATATTTTCTAGTTTTTACATGTCTATACCAAATTATGGTGTCAAATGGCATGATAATACTGATTATATACGACAATTAATAGTATGTCAATAAAAGTTTTAATGCAATTAACTGTGAAAAAGGGTCATGACTTTTTTCAAAAGCACAACGCAGCTTGTTTAAAGAAAAACATGATACATTTTATATTGATCGTCTTTGAAAATAAAATCATTGATTGATTTGGTAAAAAAAAAAATTATCGCTTGACGGACAATGTTTTTATTTCATGAATATTCAATGTAAGTAAATTTGGAAATCAATCTTGCAAATGTTTTGTTCTAAAACTTTCTGACTCATTTCGACTAAAATGATGTGAAAATCTTTGAAACATCCAAGGGGACCACTATCCACTTTCATTCTGCATATATCAGAGTTTCGCCGACAGAAAGGTTGTCCTTTTGAATATGTATTCCCCCAACTATTACATATAATTCATCAATCATAGAACTAATTTTGCTTTATTCGGTTATTTCGTTTTATTACCGATTACTGATTACTATAGAACAAACTAACCTTACTGGTGTAAATATACGTCGTAAATCTCTGTAGAAAATAATGAAATATCAAAATATACTTCCTTCCCATGTGAAGATATACATCAATCAATCAATCGCCTCTCTGTTTTTTCATTAGTTTTATACAAGAAAAAAAGCCTCTCTCATCGTAAACAGAAGATCAGTATTGTCGAGAAAATATATTACGTAACATTGTTTTTTCTCCTCCTACTTCACTAATTCCATTGTTTAGACACGTAATTTAGATAGAGAATGTTATGATGAGTTTGGGGTCTATAATATAACTATAATTTACTTGATAATTTAAACTTGTTTGATGGGAAATGTAGCGGAATATTACCTTTTTACTAGCATTGATATTTCTGTACTAAACCAGATTGAAAGATGTCTTCAAATTCGACTTAATTTTATTAAGGGTTTTGTCAAAAATAATAACTTAGCTGCATAAAAATGTCATGCAATGAATCGAAAACTGATTAAAAAAAAACGGCTGTAAAAT